ACATCGGCTGGGTTTTTTACACATCGAGCAGCATCCGCACTGGCAAACCCAGTTCAAAAGCATGCGCTTGAGTAGATGACGTGCAAAAGCAATTCTCGCAGTTGTGCTTTTTCCACAGCGTCCACAGGGTTTCAGCTAATGATGGGGCATGTTTGTATGCCATCGCTGTATGGGAAATGACAGTATCTCATCATCCCATGTTGAGGCATGTGTAAAACCAGCGTCCACCAGCGTCTACCTGAGGAATCATACAAAATTTAGGCCTTAAAACTTGTAATTTTCTTCTCAGACTCCAGCGTCCGCAGCACGGGAAAATCTGCCCTTATGTCAGGTTGCCCTGGAATCAGCGTCTGCATTGAGATTACCATTTTCTGACGTGTAAATATCCCGCTGATACCAGTATGAAATCTTCCCAACGCCAGCGTCCGCAGTAGATGACGTGTATTCTCACCGAATAGGGTGTGTTCACCCTAGCGCTTGTAGCCATTAAGTGGCATGTTGTTTGTCACTAGTGGGTTCATGGTGGCAGTGATCGACCCCTAACCCTGCAGCGCCACTTGCAAGGCGTTTGCGGAACTCGCTCCTTCGGGAACAGCTACAGCCTTCTGGAGAGTTCTGCGGCAACAGCAGTGTGGTGACTCAGCGACAGACGGAGCTTGTAATGGCAAGTTACGGGCTTGCGCCTAGCAGCCTACCAGATTTCAAACGTCAACGGTCGCAGTACCAATCAGAGACATATTGCTAAGGGTTGTAAAATACACAAGAAGGTGCTTTTTGATAAGTACACTATTTCCTTCTGTGAATTCTTCTGAACATTCAAAGTTTGATTCAGCTTCTTAACGTGCAGTACGACTTCAACCTGCCGAGCAAAGCGAAAGTGCAGAAAGGATTGCCGCCAAGGTTGCCACCGGAAATGGCTGCTACACCATGATTCTGGGTCGTTGCTTATTCAAGCTGTAAATTCTTTAGATTGAGCCAGTGGGCTGCCTCTCAAACATCTCCCCCAGATCCTACAAGGTATTCCGGATGTGAGAAGACCCAAACCTGCCGATTTGCGAAAATTTGAGAATTGCTGCCTTTGACCCAGAAGAATACCAGAAAAGAGAACCTGTACGCGGCGGGGAGCAAATCAGATGATCCATCCCTTTATCATGAAAACCGCTAACAACGCACCAGGCCAAATACAGTAGTTTACGGAATGCTCCCTAATCACACAGTAAGACGCTCGAAGTACTTGAGCGAGGAGACTGAAGAAGCCATTGATGGCCGCATCGGTGCGTAAATTTTGGGGCGAAGCGCGCGAGGACGTGAAGACGTGAAGACGTGAGATGCGGCGCGAAGACGTGAAGCGCGCGAAGCGCGTGAAGACGTTAACGT